TATTACCACGTATCAAAGCAGCATACTGCTGCCGTATCCATGGCAACTGAATATATTTGCTCGTCTTTCACACACTTGCCGGTAATGCAATATGTTGGAGAGTACAGCATGTACCATGTACACAGTAATGGGCAGACAAATTTCACATATAGTATTCCTGAATACAAATACATGTATCAATAAAATTATCATACATAATACAAACGTACAGTGTTATTTTAATCAATTTTTTTTTATATGCAAAAATTGCATTTTTACCTGGAGTCCTCTCTCAATTATTTGTTTTCTTTCTTGTCGGAATTGCTCATGGTCGCGCGGTAAAGCAACAGAACTGTAATGAAAATGAAATTGATTGGTGAATAACAATGACCAGCAAGATTGATTTGATTGATTAGATATACATACAAGTCACGTTATTAGTTTCGCAAATAAAGTAGTACTACATGCACACAATACATTTAAAGAAATATTCACAGTTTTCCGGCCTAATAATCATTCAAATTAACACCAAACATGTTTACATGTTTTAAATATTATTTGATTCATTATGTTTTAATTTTTTAATTTAATTGTAAGTTGACTATAGACCGTTTTTTTTTTTGTAAAGCTTATTATATCATGCAAATATTTCATTTCATCAAAAACAGCTCTTGAAATTAAACTGAGGTGACTTTTATACCCAAGATTAGCATAAAGTATAAGAGTAAAGCTTGTACAGCGATCACTAAAAGAATATATCAAAATTTTCTGAAGCGTCATTCTATTGATTTGAGAACTGTCAGTGTATTCAATGTAACGAACGTGACCAATACTGCTGTACAGTACATGCTGGTAATAGACATATCTTAAACTTTAACATATAAAGCGAACAAGGTAACAATTGGAGTGTGGTTTGTTTGTTTGAATGCTTGACAACTCAAAATCAGGGCTGTCGAGATTATGCCTAAGTAACACAATACGACACACTGCAGTATGCTATTCAAAAGTTGAAGTCTTGTATGAATGACTTTTTTTTATAACCATTCCAGTGCTTATTCACCCCTCAGTGGTGAGTTTGACCTTATTTCAAAGACTGTCATTGGTCAGCTTTCTATATGATTTATATGTCAGAATACAAGTACAAACAAGGTTGACAAGTTACAAACAAGATTGAAAAATACACAAACAATAAGGTGTTCTATGGCGGGGTGAGGGTATTATTACTTACAATCGAGTAATTAAGTATTGCAAAATAGTTTGGGGGAAACATGATCTAAATGAGACAATGAACTTGATTGATTAGATAGTTTCTTTCTTTCCAGCTACAGTAATAAACACCACAATACATGAAGGATCTATTTTGGAGTACATTTTTTAGAATGTTTTGATGATTTGATGTGTGTAATATTCAGCAAATAATATAACGATTTCATCAAAATTGTTGCAACATACATCAATGTTGCTTTCAGTATGACATAATGGGACTACCCTGTAGTAAATTTAATTGCATTATCCATACTCTAGAATAATTAGAATATTTAGAATAATTGTCCTAATGCAAGTGACACTAAAGGTCTGAACACAAGCTGATTTAAACAATGTGTAAAAGAATTTACTTCAGGAGAAGAGATAATATCCAGCATCCAATTATCCATTAATTGGTTATTTTAAATGAAATATTAATAATTAATTATTTTTGATACTGACGATTAAACACAAGATGACAAGCTAATCATTTTGCTGACTTTACATAGGCTGCCTTTTTAAAAATTTGTTTTTTCTTTAAATTAGCAACTCAACACTTTATTGGTCAAAGGTCATGTAATGTAATTAGATTTTTCACAATGTTTCCTTTGTACTATTGTTCTTCTCTTTTCATAAATACCAGTAACACATTGTGTTAGGGTCAACGGTTAAATCTATACTAGCACTGTATAAACAATGAAGAGCTTTTAAGCATGTTGTGTCATTGGAATTTGGCCATTTGTGATGAATCATAGGTAGTAATGTATTCTTATTTCCCTAATGCGTTGTCTAGCATGTGACACTATCGATTAGAATAGGAAGACATCTTTCAGTTCGTAACAATGACGCTATAGTATTCTTTATTAAAACATTGCATCAGTATACATGTGCTGTCAATTATTTAACTGTCACCAAAAAATGCAAAGTATATTTTAAGACTGTATTGAATTATATGTGTTATCGATATTCACTTTCGCACAAAATCACAGCTTTTTGACTTTTGGACAAAATTGTTATGGATTGGTTTATATTTGTTATGGGTTTATTTACACAAAGTCACTGTGTATTGACTTTTATAGAAAATTGTTGCATATTGACTTTTGCACAAAATCACTGCGTATTGACTTTTATAGAAAAGTTTTGCATATTGACTTTTGTAGAAAATTGTTGCACATTGACTTTTGCAGAAAATTGTTGCATATTGACTTTCGCACAAAATCACTGCGTATTGACTTTTATACAAAAGTTTTGCATATTGACTTTTGTAGAAAATTGTTGCATATTGACTTTTATAGAAAATTGTTGCATATTGACTTTTGTAGAAAATTGTTGCATATTGACTTTTGTAGAAAATTGTTGCATATTGACTTTTGCACAAAACCGCTGTGTGATGACAAACTAAAATATTCTGTCAGACAATGTTAACGGAGTGGATCAAGTGCATAAACAAGAAATTAGTCATTTAGTATTTCAAACATGATCAGAGGCATTTCATCATTAGCCCCCCCCCCCTCAAATCTAATGTTTGACACTTGCAACAATAACATTTGTTTCTATTGCATTCCAAGAGTACTATGTCCCAAAATCACAGAAAGCTGTAAATGGACATTTGTAAAATTCATCTCAAAATTACGAGAACGCAGTATACCTTGCAACTCGTGGGGCTCCCATGAGCATTTCATTCTCTTCAATATCATGTTTCAGATCAGATAATTCCTTTATCAATTCCGATTCCAGACTCTTAATTCTCTCACTTCCGCCAATCTGGTATATTTCATCAAGTTTTAGCATATTGGTGTCGTTCTTGTCGTAACTAATTACCGCTATAAACGCACCACATTATAGAACTGTAATAAAAAACCTGCAGATGAAATGAAATGTGGATGTAAATTAGTGTATTTAATTTGGAAAAGAAAACCATTTGCTCTCTATGAAATATTGGAACACCAAATAAAATTATATTTACATAATATTCAAATTAATATGTAGATATATTATTCTAATTAATATGTAGATTATTTTAATCTGTTAATATGAAGTACCAGGGTAATCATAAAAATAAAATACATACAACAGATAACCCCATCATGATAATCATAATTTATGTGGATACCACATTTGCTTTGGTAGAAGCTCATCTCCAATAGAAGGACATATAAACCAAAAATTGTATGTGTTGTATACAATTTTATTAATTAAAATATTACTTATTTGATCTATAGAAACACTTCTGTAATTTACATAAATCCAGGCCTTACTAATTGAGCAAATACAGTATTCCAATACAATGTATTGTAAAGTACCCTATTTTCACTTGGAATTTATTTTTGCTATTTTTGCTATTTTCTCTGATGAGATGAATCAGTGTTTGGTTAATCAGTTTTTGAAC